AAAAGAGATTTTTGGTAAATATTTAACATGCTCTCTGGTGAAGCTCATTTCCATCATGTGAAAGAGATTTACATATTAAAGCCATTCAGTGAACATTAAAAATGGAGTGAGGGCAAAGCCATACATTTGATAAAATATTTAACAATGGTGGTCAGTGGGGGGGGGGGGGAAGATAAGTTTATTTTTTAAATATTGGATGAAATGAAGCACTTTGTTACTACAAAGCCAATGTTTTAATAATATTTAGCACTGAAATCCACTTGGCATGTGGAAGATGAACCATTGTTGAAAATGTGAAATATACATAGTTGTAGAATAACAAATGAAATGACTCAAATGGCAATGCATATTCAGGTTGTTTAAATATTAAGAAACTCTGCTTGACAACAGCAGCATTTTGAGAGCAAGAAAGTAATAATGTACAGGAGCCCTGCAATGATGCTGAACATTATAGATACAGGTTGAGTCTCCCTTATCAAAATGCTTAGGACCAGAAGTGTTTGGGATTTGGGGATTTTTCAGATTTTGGAGTATTTGCATATATATAATGAAATATCCTGGAGATGGGACACAAGTCTGAACGTGAAATTCATGTGTTTCATAAACACCTTATATACATAGCCTGAAGGTAATTTTATAAACAAGATGTATAAAGTTTGACATGCATCTCTAACCTTAACCATATGAAATCTTCAAAATTTCAAAGGCTCTCTGTTTCAGCTCAGATGAACCCTGGGAAACTGAAGTCAGTGGTCCTTCTGAAAATTTACACTCCCCCCCCCCCCCCCCCCCCCCCCCCCCCCCCCCGTTTCTCAAGGCTTGAGTCATGAATGAAACAACTTCTTTTTCAGAATGGAAGAACTAAGAAGTTTAGCCCTGAAGCTTCAACTGCCATCTATAACTCTCCCAAGGCATTTAATTTCTCCAGTATCAGAAAGCCCAGCAAGCAGCTTCTGCTCTGGATTAAGTGTAAACATGGGACTGGCCATGGGGTATATTTGTAATAGAGATGACTCCACATCAGCAAATTACACCTCCTCCTTCTGTCCCTGTACTAGTTAAGAGGCAGACAATGCAGGTCCCACTGCCTTGTCCTTTTCTTAACTCTCTTTTTTTTTCAGAGTTTTGGCTCCCAGAAGTACCTTCTTCTGCAGGGTCAAATTAACTGTAATGCTGGACTTGTGGTACAATAGGAGTGTGTCTGAAAGCTCTGTGTTTGAATCACATCAGGGTCAGGATTCTGACTCCACTTACATAAGCACCAGATTTTTTTTTCAAATGCACCCTAGGGCTCAAATTGCGCAGAATGAGGACTTACCCTCTCCCAAAAGAAAGACAGCATCCGTCATACCACTGCCTTTCCAAATAAAAACTCCCACTGTCATGAAAAGTGAGCTGTCCAGGCAGTGAAGATAGTGATACCTGCCCTGAGTCCCTGTGCTGGGAGGAAGGCAAGATATTAATAATAATAATAATAATAATAATAATAATAATAATAATAATAATAATAATAATAATAATAATAATAATAATAATAACAATAATAATAATAATAATAGATGAGCTTGTCTTTCAGTGTTGGTTAAAGAAAAGGATTTAACACTCAAATCACATTGTCCTTGCACTACTGTCAACTCTTTCCTGGTCTGTCATGCTATGTTTTCAGTGAACCCCACATTACATGCACTGTAGGATAAATGAAGAACTACAACCAGCATTGCAGATCAATGGTAGTGCATCTGATTCCAGACTAGAAGGTTGCGTGTTCAAATCATGCCAGGGCCAGGATTCCCTCCTTCTCCTTTTTTCCCTCTGTCCTTGTGATAACTGGATTTTCAAGGGGTTCCAAGCAAAATGAAATAAAATCCAGGATTCAAGTGAGGTAGGCTTTCATTGCATGCCTTTGATGATTTTATTGCTCTGCCATGCTTTTCTTTAACAACCTCTTTTCAAAGCTTTTTACCCCACAAAAAACTCCTGTAGAGTTTATAATCAGTGGTAGTTTTGTGGTGCAAGGGCAGCATATTTGACTCCAGGTCAGGAAGCTGTATGTTCAAATCATACCAGTTTTAGAAATTTCACTTTCTTTTTGATCCCTGTGTGAGTTGAGATGCAGGAAAGGGAGCACCCATGTGGCCTTAGCTCAGTGTGAAACAGAACAGCCCAAGGCTCTAGTCAGACAGACATACTTGAAATTTTCTGAACTAAACTCAAGTACATTGTTCCTTATGCCACCTTTTTGTATGCTGGAAATATACTCTGCTTAATTCCCACAAACACATAAAAGCCTGGGAAGTTGGAGCTGAGTGCAGAACATATATAGGGCTTCTACAGACTGGCCCAAGGGGCCAGCCTGGAGGCAGAGATGGGACAGGACCAGCTCTTAGGGCTCTTAGGGCACCCTTTTGCTGCCCCTGAAAAGAGTGGCGCTGTGTGAGCTGCCATGATTCAATGCTATGGATTTCTGGGATTTGTAGTTTTGTAAGATATTTAGCTTTCTCTGTCAGATAATTTTGTTGGCACAATAAACTACTAGAATTCCATAGAACTGAGCCATGACAATTAAGATGTCAAACTGCATTAATTCTGCAGTGTAGATGCAGCCTGAATCTGCTTATGATATCTGAACAGGCTTGTTCAAGCCTGGTTATACAAGGGGGTATCATTAAGTAATAATTATCACCTAGAAGTTATTATGGTATATTGGATTTTGTCACTGTCATCATTGGTCCATGAGTGCATGATGTGGAGAAAATCAGTCCATTGTGTCTTTTATTTTTGTTACAGGTTGTGCTAGAAGTGACTAAAGTGTAAGATGAAGATGTACGAGGGGGTATCATAAAGTAGTAATTATCATCCAGAAGTTATTATGGTATGTTGAAGAAATTTTGTCAGTGTCATCATCACCAAGTGACTTTTTCTTTTCCCAAAAATGAAAAATCCATTGTGGGGTCACCAATTTGACAACACAGATGATGTCATTCATGAAGTGGAAGAATGGTTTAAAGTGCAATCTGCAGACTTCGACAATAACGGTATTCGGAGAGTCAAGAAATGCTTGGGGAAAATGTGTAAATTTGGATGGTGACTATGTAGAGATAAATTAGCAATTACAAATCAAAACAAACTTTCTGTCAAATATTTTTAAAAGTGATAATTAAAATTTTGTGATACCTCCTCATATGTAATGTGAAGCAAGATGGCACAACATTTGATTTCCCCCACCCCGGCCCCCTGTGTGTGTGTGTTTCATGTAGTAATCTAGATAGACAGACTATTGTTTTAGAGCAGAAGATTCAAAAACACTCTGATGGAAGTAAATCATAAATATATGGTTAAGTGTGTTTGTGTGTGTGTGTGTAGTTTACTTATTAGCATGCTTTACCCCTCAGAGAGGAGTTGCCCTTGCCATCCTCTGAGCCTGAGAGAGTGTGACCTGCCCAAGGACACCCAGAGGAGCTGTATTTCTGCCTTCTCTCAAATTCTCCTCCATTTTGAGCATGACTCCAATGTTTTGCAAAGACCATTCTCGCTGTCGTCAACAGATATAGTACCCCTTTCAATTTTTTTCTTTCCTCTCTGCCTTATATCACATTCAATAGGCAAATTTCTGGTTCAAATTTAATTTTTATCTGGTATATATATTGTATTATTTTATGGATTTCTTGCCAATATCTTTTTGGTTTTGGGCAGGTCCACCACATATGGGAAAAGGAGCCTTTTTGTCCTTGGCCGTTCCAACAAATTCCTTCACTATTCCTGTAAATATTTGCTAATACAGGTGGTGTTAAATACCATCTGTACATTATTTTCATGGAATTTTCTTTTATATCCAAACACAAAGTAAATTTCAAATCCCCCCCCCATGCCTTTCAATTTTTCCAATTGTATGTTATGACCTATATTTCTTGCCCTCTGAATCAAACATGGTTTTATCATTTGTAATTCTAGCTCTAATTTTAGACAAAATTTATAGGCTCTTGAAATTGTTCCTTTTTTATTTTCTATTATTATTTCTTCCAATTCTGATTTTTTTTCTTCTTTTGTAATTCCATAGTTTAATATCCATTTTAAATTGTTCCACGAGTTGTCAATATGGGAACCATTGTAGATTTATTCCTTCTATTTTAAATTCTTCCTGATTTTTCAATATTGGTTTATCATTCTCCCATTTCAGAATATCTTTTTACTTCAACCATTTTTTTTTATTTTCTGCCCAAATAAATCTCATCAAATCCTTTTTCCATTGGTCAATTATCGAATCACTTAATATCATAATGTGAAGGTTTTGAAATAAAAACATTATCTTTAGTAATATACTCATTTGCACGGTGACTATTCTACCCATCAACAACAAATTTAACTTTGACCATTTTCCTAAGTTCTTTCTGATTTCTTGCCCCATTGTTTTGTAGTTGTTATTGAATAATTCAGTATTTATTTTAGATAAATTCCTAAATATTTTTCTTTCTTTTGTATTTGCATCCCTACTTTTTCTTGCAATAATTCCTGTTCACTTTTTGTCATGTTACAAGTTAACAGTGCCAATTGGTTTTATTTATTTAGAGTTATGCACATTGTCCAAACTCTTTAATTATTTCTAAAAAAATTGGTATATTTTATAGGTTCTTCTGTAAATGTAACAATGGAATCAGTGAAGACTTGTATTTTACATTTGTGTCCTTTTATAGTTATCATTTTTATCTGGTTCTCATATTTTATTACTCAGTATCTAAGCACATAATAAACAAGGGGGTGATAAAGGGCACCCCTGTCTTGTTCTTTAAAATTTTTGCAGCTTTTAATTTTATTTCCATTTATTATTATTTGTGCACTTTGTTCTTTATAGATCTCCTTAATCCATTTCAGAACATTATTTCCTAATTCCAGCTTTTCCATTAATGTTGCCAATTCAGATTATCAAAAGCCTTCTCTGCATCCAGAAATAGCTTTGTCATCTTCTTCCTCTCTGGATTTTTCTTGCAGAATTCAATTAAATTAATGACTATTCATAGATTTTGGTTTGCATGTCTCTTGGGTAAGAAGCCACATTGATCATTTTTATCCAATCCTGGAGAACTTTCTTCGATCTACTAGCTAAAATGGATGGGAAAAAAATTATAGTCAGCATTTAAAAGGGATATCAGTCTATAATTTTGTAGTAGGGTCAAATCTTTTTCTTCTTTTGGAATCAGGGTGATGTTTGCTTCCTTCCATGAATCAAGGATCCCTTCATGTAATATTTCATTAAAAAAATTATGAAGTGGTCCAATCAACTCCTCTACAAATAATTTGTAATATATTATAGAAAATCCATTAGGACCTGGGGATTTTCCATTTTTGGCTTGTTTTATAGCTTCTTTATTTCCATCATTGTAATATTTTGATTGAGAGATCTTATATCATCAGTTATCTTCATCTTCTCTATATCTTGTAAAAATTTATTTATCTTTTCAGGGTGCTCATTTCCTCATTTTTGTTCTTTGAAAAATTCATTAAAATATTTCTGAAATACCTTTATTATCTTTTCTTGATCCATGTATACTTTATTTTCTTTGATTTCAAGATTCATTCTTTTTTCCTTCATCTTCTTCCATTTATATGACAAAAATTTCCCTGCTTTATTTCGAAATTCAAATTGCTTTTGTTTCACATATTTCATTTTCTTTTATTTATTTCTTCTGCCATTTTAGGGGATAATTGTTTCTTTAATATTTTCAATTCTTTGATAACACTTTCATTTGTAAGTTTTAAAATTATTTCTTTCTCTTTTTCTTCATTTTTTTCCCTGAAATTTCTTGAATTTCTTTTGTTCTTTTTCTCCTCCATTTCTAAATTCTCCTGATTTCTAAATCAGGAAACCACAGATAACTGCCTTATATGCATCCCATACTATCTTCTTTCCAAGTTCTCCTAAAAATAGTATTTCAATTGTTTCTTAACTTTTTTTGTTGGCTCATCTTTTAATAAATACTCATTCATTCAATCTCCAGCAGAATTCTTTTATTGGCTGTTTGAATTCCATTGCTATCGGATTATGGTCTGATATTTTCTTTGTCAGTATCTTTAAATTATTAATTTCTTTGAATATATCATTTGATATAAAAAACATATCAATTCTTGAAGCTGAATTGTGGGGGGTCTGAAAAAAAAATTGGCATTTCTGAATTTTTCTCTCCATGGATCATGGAGGTAGCAATAAGGTATCCATCAAGTCAAAGAAAGTTTTGGGGAGCTTTTCTTGCTTTTCTTTTATCTTTTTATTTGATTGTCTGTCTAATGAAGGATTCAAAACACTGTTCCAGCCTCCCATGAAGATATGAAAATCATAGTCTAGTTCTTGTATTTGTTTTGCCATTTTTTTATTTTCTGTTATGTGCCATGTGTAATGGTGTGTGGCATCAGGATGTCATTGGCGTGGGGTTGAGGTGGCCAGCATGCGGCTGCCCTGCACCAACTGTGCCTCCAGGCCAGCCCTTTGGGCCAGTCTGCAGAGGCCCTAAATCAATTTACTAAACAGTCCAAATCAGTTTCTATTGAGCAATCAGTACTATTAAGCAGTTCAAATCAATTCTACTATATAGTCCCAAACAATTCTATTAATCAATCCAAATCAATTCTATTAAATAGTCCCAAAAATTCTGTTAGGCAATCCAAATCAGTTCTCTTAGGTAATCCCAATCAATTATATTGAAAAGTCCAAATAGATTTCACAAGTCAGTTCTCAGTCCAGATCAAACAAATTCAGCTGAACAGTCCAAATCAAATCAATGAGGCAGTCCAAATCAAATTTATTTGATAATCTTGATCAGTTCTTAGTCCAAATCAGTTCTGCTGAACACTCCAAAGCAGTTCTATTAAACAACCAAATCAATTCTTTTAAACAATTCAGTTCATTTTACTAAGCAGTCCAGAACAGTTCTTCACATCAGTTCTATTAAATAATCCTGGTCAGTTCTATTATATATTCCAAATCAGCTCTTTTAAGCAGTCCAAGCCAGTTTTCAGTCCAAATCAGTTCTGTCAAGCAGTCCAGGTCAGTTCTATTAAACAATCCCAGTTCTATTAAACA